GGGAAAGTTGAATGAGAAAATAAATATGGCTAATGGCAAATTTACAGTCGAAGAGAGTAGAGTTGTGGGATTGTTTATATTGGCTGGCTGGTGAGAAGTTTAAATCCAATCATGATAAAACAACAATTTGAAAGATATTCTGCTCAAATGAAATATATCAGTGAAAGCTACCCTCAATTTAATATTCTATAATCTCCTGCCTACTGCCTCCTGCCTCTTGCTGACTGATCCCAACCTGTTTGTAATAAATTGGCCGAACCAAAAAACCGCCAATTTAATGACCTCCAAATGTGCAATTGTTTCTCGTTTTGTTAATTCATAAATGTTTTGCACACTCCACTTTCAAATTAATGGACTTTTGAGGTTGCCATACCTCAAAAATTGCAATACAAATGTGCAGTGTTACCCAACAATTAAAATACACAACAACCCACGTTAATTGAGCCAAACATTTGCGTAAGCGGTCATCGTCAACAACAACACCATCATCATCATCAACAACAACAACACCATCATCATCATCACCATCATCATCAACATCATGAAGTTTTCCTCCCCTTTTTTTTTTTTGGACAGGGATTTTTTGGGCGTCGAAATGGAAAGCAAAATGCAACACTTGACAAGTTTATGAATTTTTAATTGGTAAATTCTCTGCCTGCCTCTGTTGTTGGGTGGCGCTGATGAAAATGCGTCACAAATCGAATTGATTCAATTCAGGTGGCAAATGGGCGGCAAGTGGGTGGTGTGTTCTGGTATTGCGATTACCATATGTCATCCGACGATATTCATATTTCGCATGTTTTTGGCATTTAATTGCGCGTATTTTGTGTTTGTAGTCGCGTTTGCTGCTGTGCCGCAATTTTCAATTAAAATTTATGAATCGAATGCTAAATGGAAGTCGACGTTGCCCATCTGTGATCTCTGCCCCTTATCCCATGTTTTTCGCGCTCGGCGCATAAATTATGGAAATTCATAAATGCCAACCAAAGGCCCCAAACAGCAACGCTCCTCTGCACAGAGGGGGCTGAAGCGGACGGGCGGACGAAATTACCAAATGCAGCCGCCAAATATATTCTCGTAAATATTTGTTTCTCTTATTTGGCATTGTTAAATGCATAAATATTTTTAGTTGCACATTCCGGCGCCCTTTAGACACACAAAGTTGTTTTTTTCAAATTTTTGCTTTAGGCAAAAATTTTCAATTATCAATTATTTTGCATTCATTGCACTGCAGTGCCCCATGTGGGGCAACGGGACATGTTACGGAGGGAATTGGCAGTGGACGCGCCCCCAACCGCGTTTATTGAATGTTTTTTGTTTTTTTGGGGGTCTGATTTTGACATGAGGCAAATTGAAATGTAATTGTTTTGCCAGCCGTATCCACAGCCAAATACGAAGCGAACTCTTTCGTTTGCAGTTTATTTAACTGGCAATTCCCGCGAGTTGTGCCCACAGCACACACCAATCCCAACACTCCACCTGCCCCGCACACCACTGTGTTAATGATGCAGCCACAAAATGCCGTTTGCATATGTTGCCACTCCCACGGGTAAACGTCGATTGAATCTGGCTCTGAATCTGGCTCTGAATTTGACTACCAATTGCAGCACCAGGCGGAAACACATCAAAGCGCTTTCAAAATCAAAAGCAAATTTGAAAATGCCTGATTTACATATATACACTTGTATATCTATGTATATATTTGGATTGGTTGCTTGTAGACTGTGCTATTGCAGCCCATTTAAGAGTATCTAATTAACTATGTGTGGGCATTAAATAGATTGGCAATAGAGCAGCAAAAACTTACTTTTCATATGCTGAACAGTTGAGTGTTGTATAAATATTAAATATCTCCCATCTTACCTGTAATGAAAAGAAAATATTCTTGCTTTAATTACACAATATTATAAATACTCATTAAATACGGTTAAAGATCATGTCAAATGCAGGATTGCATTTATTATTAACTTACCAGCTAAATGTAATAAATAAAAATGCACCCACCCATTTTACACACCCCTGCACCACTTCGAACACCCAGAGAGAACAGCTGTGCTGTTAACTATTCTGAACTATGACCCTTGAACACTCCCTCAACTTTCAGCTGTCGAGCTGCATTCCAATTTAAACATCGCACCTAATTTCAATTAAAACGAATACCAAAACTCATTCGCCAAATGTTTGAATAAATAAATAAAAAATATATATATATATTTTTGGGTAATTTGTAATTTTTAGGTATTGCCACTAGGCACCGACAAAGTGCAAATGTAGCAATATTTCAAACCGCCCAGCCCCATAGCCCGACAACCTGGCTAAACACTCTAAGGCTCTAAGGCTTCCAGGTGAGTGCGCATTATTCATTACCCAACAACCCCGCCGCGTCAGCCACCGTGGCGAGAGTCCTGCCTGGCGGCGAGTCCTGTGCTTAGGCGCGCCGTGTTGATGTGCATGTTATTGCCCATTATGTGGCACAAAAAAGCTAACCCTCGAGCACACACACACACATATGTATTACTTGGCTCAGGTTGTTGTTGTTTTGCACATTGCCTTTTTAAGTATTATTAATTGTCTGCCATGTTTGTTCTTGCCACAGGATATGTGTATGTGTGTGGAGGTGGGCGTCTGACCAGAAAGGTGGCATATGGGGAATGAAACGGCAGTTGGAACAGCATGTAGCTTCTATTGTTGTGACTGCTGCATATTTGTCTGCTGTCATAGAGCATTGTGATAAAAATCTAATTTAGAAATTCATATTTTGTTTACCTGTTACGGTTAGTTCAGTGGAGTCTAATCTGTATCTGTATCTGTATCTGTAATGCTATTCCATGGCTCAGTGAGCTAATTTCGGCTGCCTAATTTGCCAGAAAATTATCCAGCAGGGGCGTAGGTTATAGTTCAGATGGGGTCTACCTCAGATAATGTTTTATAAAGGTCAAATAAATGTTGTTTACCTCTCAACGCGTCGAGCACATTGTGGAGATACCAAGTACATATATAAAGGTAAGTTATTCATCGGCTGCAACTAATCTCCGGTAACGTTCTCTTCTCATTTTTGGAATGCTTTTTATCCAACCCTGGGGCTAATGACCCCCAGCTCATCTGCAATTGGTATGGAACCAATCTGCTCTTTCGACAAATGCATTGTCATGTTCATTTGGTTAGCGCTCCACACGGCAAACCCTTGCAGTCAAAAAATTGAACTTTCGACTGCAATTGCAACATACACAAAAAGTAATGCTAGAGAAGTGCGCCCCTTCGGCAGAGGCAAACCAAAAGTACAAATTACACGTGACTCGAACGGAAAGAGATAGATATATGCAGATGTGTGGAGAAAGAGAGAGAAGACCTCTTTCATGGTCAGTGCACCAGTGTGCGATTTACTGGCTCAATTAGCTGGGTACGATGACTGGCCCACAGCTGCAGGCTGACGGCGATATACCGATTTTCACAGCACACTCAGGAAAAGACACGGAAACACAGGCAACACAGACAAGGAATGGAAACAGATAACAGCAAGGGGGTAGGGGGGAGCTGAGCAAAGAGAAAATCCTGAAGCAACGATCGAGGGGCAATTTCACATAATTCGCTTAGTTTATGCATGCAGCGGCAAAGATAACTGAGATCGCTAAAAAGAAACCTGTCCATAAGTTAACATGTTTATTTCGACTTGGGCTCGCTCAACGAATGGCTCATAATTTAACATGCCAATGGCCACAATTAACCAAGCTCCAGCCCCTAATCGAACCTATGATTCTGCAGCTTGTTTTGACATGCGAAGTGAGACACTTTTGGGCCTGGAAATTTACGTGTTCTGATAGAGCTCTTAAGAATCCCCAGTTCTGAGTAGATCGTGAATTAGCAGTTTATTAATGCGCTGAACTTTCGAGCAGTTGTTGACGCATCGATGAGATTGCGAGTTGCTCAGCATTTTTAATGTCTTCATCATGAGGAGCAGCTCGCAGAGAGTCGAGCTTAAAATTACTTAACCAAAGAAATTGATGAAATTTGTAGGTAGTAGTTTTTAGTTTATTAGCTAATAATTTAACACCTGCTTTCATTCAGAAAGACATGCGACGTATGCCGAGCAGAGCCGAGTGTTAATTACTCAGCAACAGTTAGTCGACGTCAAAGCATCCAATTAAGGTTAAGCATTTATTATATTTAGCACATAGCTGAGAAATATAAAACAATTTGCACTCGTAATCATTTGTATATAGATACTCAGATACTTAGCTCGTTAAGTGCAAGTCATGTTGGCAATAAACAGACCAGTGAAGTGGGTCAAGAGTATGCAATTATTGTGGGTTAAGAAATACACTTTGAAGTTAGCACAAGTAAGTTATAAATCTATAAATATTTTTAATTTGAGTATACTATTAAGTGTGCTGCTGAAAACACTTAAATCTGTAAAAAAGGAGAAACGTTATTGTCTTTAGAGAGCCTTGTTGCATTGAAGTTGCAACACTTGGAAACAAATTTAGTAACAAAACATTTCAAATAATTAAAGTCTCCAAGAAAGTCTCCATTGAATTGACTTACAAATTATCTCTGATGTACCCCACTCTGCCTAAGCCTCTGCTTTATATGTACACAAATTACATTGTGTTCTTAGTGATTGTATATGGTATAAAGTAATTTACAGCAGCTCTGATATAACGATAAGCTAATGTTTTAATCCAAGCACAGAGTGACACATACAGAGAGAGACAAAGAGAGAGAGAGAGAGAGAGAGACAAAGAGAAAGAGAGAGAGAAAGAACGAGTTGCTCTGAGAGAAAACAAAGAAAGCTATAGGCGAATGTGGATGCAACACAGTCATACGGTATTTCCAATTAGAATGAGAAAATAGACAATGCTAAAAAAAATAGTCTCAATTTGAGCGCTAGTCAAGTGAAACATTTGGAATTAGCGCAATGTTCCCATTGAGAGGGAATGGAGAGTCAACAAATTGACGGGTTGACCGTGGAAAAGAGAGTCCCAAAGATCGTTCGTCAGTCTGCTGCTGAACGTCAGTCAGTCATGTCACTTTGGTGGTTGAGTTTGGCGCTGTTGTCGGCGCTATTGTCGCTACTCTGTATCTATCTGGAGCGCACTTACAGCTACTGGGCGCGACGGGGGGTGTTGTACGATAAACCGGTTTGGTTCTATGGCAATCTGAGGAGTGTGGGTAGAACGACAACGGTGCTGGAGCCATTTCGCAGGTTCTATGAGAAATACAAGGGAAGGGCGCCATTCGGGGGCTTCTATTTTGCATTGCGTGGCGCTGCAGTGCTGCTGGATCTGGAGCTGGTGAAGCTGGTGATGGTGAAGGATTTCCATAACTTTGCGCACCGTGGCAACTACTACAATGAGGCGGATGATCCCATTTCGGCGCATCTGTTCAATTTGGATGGTCGCGATTGGCGCGAGATGCGCAACAGACTGACGCCAACGTTCACCTCGTTGAAGATGCATCAAATGCTGCCCACCGTGGTGGAGATTGCCAATCGGTTTGTGAAGGTGGTGCAGCAAAAGATTGAGCCGTTGCAGCATGCCGAGGAGTCACCAGTGATGGTGAAAGATCTGCTGGCTCGCTTCACCATGGACGTCATTGGTAGCTGTGCCTTTGGCCTGGAGTGCAACAGTCTCAACGATCCCAATGACCAGTTCTGTCGCCTCGGCCAAAGGACCTTCCAGGAGCGGCGTCACGGTCGTCTTGCCTTCGCCTTCATGCAGGCCTTTCCCCAGCTGGCCCGACGACTGCACTTCAAGATGGTGCAGGATGATGTCAGTGCGTTCTTCATGAGCGTCGTACGCGAAACTCTCGACTATCGGGATAAGCATCAGGTGCAACGGAATGATTTCCTCAATCTGCTGATGGAGCTGCGCAACGATCCGAATGGTGGATTGACCTTCAATCAGATTGCGGCCCAGGCGTTCGTCTTCTTTCTGGGCGGATTCGAGACCAGTTCCAGCACCATGGGCTTCGCTCTGCATCTGCTCGCCCTGCACCCAGAGGTGCAGCAGCGTGGCAGGGAGGAGGTGCAACAGGTGTTTGCCAAGCACAAGGAGCTCAACTATGAGGCCTTGCGGGACCTCAAGTATATCAAGCAAATCGTTTATGGTGAGCCAATCATGTCAATTTACATAGATACCCTGTAAACTCGAGTGAATTTCAGAAACACTTCGAAAGTATTCCATTGCATCTATACTCATACGCATGACCATTGAGGATTATGAAGTGCCCGGCACAGATTATGTACTGGAAGCGGGCACACCTCTCGTCATACCCGTCGATGCCATCCATCACGATCCGGACATTTATCCGGAGCCAGAGAAATTCGATCCGGATCGCTTTACACCCGAGGCCATCGAGGAGCGACACTCAGCTGCCTGGCTGGGTTTTGGTGCCGGTCCGCGTAATTGCATTGGCCTCCGATTTGGCGAAATGCAGACTCTGGTCGGTCTGGCTGTGCTCCTCAAGAACTTTAAGTTCTCGGCTGCCAAGGACACTGAAATACCCCTGAGAATCAACAAGACAAGCTTCTTTCTGCAATCGGAGGGCGGAATTGTGCTCAATGTGCAGAAAGTATAAAAATGGTTGAGTATAAAAAATGGAAAAATGTTTGTTTTTTAAGTCAATGCTCCGATTCGAACCAACGATTTCTGTGTTAAATGTCATTATTTAAATTATACTTATAGCTGGGGTTTCTCCTTAAAAAGTGTCTTTATTAATGCTTAAGTTTTCTTGCACCATTTCCGCCTGTCAAAATGTTCTTATTCTACTATTAAATAAAGAATGTATAAATATTTCCTATGAGTCTCGATGCTCGATTCGCTTATCAGTTACAATTCGCTACAGTGTAAATATATATGTATATATTTATATATATATATATACAGCTTATATTTTTGTTATTTGCTGTGTGCTCAAAGTGTCAGTCATTGTGTTGAAATATATTTCACAATTCATATTTTGTACAGGGCTCAGTGTTGCAACACCATTTGTATTTGATAGTTGTATCAACTTAATTTATGATAGACTGGAACTGTTGTTGAGCCTAGCACAACTTTTTGACGGCTCACCATTAAAAGTTAGACAACTCTACTCGCTCCTTCTGTCGTTGCCATAAATAAATTATCAAACACTTCAACAGTAAAGCTAAAGTATTGCTGTCACCCAGGTATAGATTATCATGCATGCAACATAATTAGTTATGCGACTTGTCAATGAGCCGGCAACAGGAACAGGAGGCCTCAGACAGCTGCTCATGATTTGTCACACAATAAATTATGCAATTTCACATGGCAAAAATGAAGATACTTGAATGCGACGACGACTTGTACAACAGTCGCTATTGTTGCGTGCCTTTGTTCAATCATCATCAACAACATCCATCCATTCCATCCCATCCCATCCATCCATTCATCCACAACAACAATCATCATGAGCTTTTGCATGCCAAATGGTCGACATCTCACTTGAGCAGTTCTCCCTCTCTCTCTGACTGTCTGTGCATATAAATAAGTAAATAGTTTGTACACAACATTGACTTCTATATGTGTGTGTGTGTGTGTGTGTGTGTGTTTGTGTGTCGTGCTCATGTTGATTGTAATGTTGATGAACCTGAATTATCACATGCCGTTTGATGGACTGCAAACACGCACAAAACTTCGGACCTGGTTTCAGTTCTTACCAACTTGTCTATACTCATTATAATACCTAAAATATTCGTACGTGCATCTGGGTACATGCGTGTATATGTCTATATGTCTATATATCTATCACTCTATATACAGACACTCGGAAAAAAAAGATGTCCTATTGATATTTTTTTCCCCCGTCTCTAGTTACTAATAATAATAAATATATAATTGAATAATTGAATAATTTGTTTTATATTAATACAATTTAGACATTTAATATTGATGATAAAAATTTACAATTAGTTTCCATCATTTTAATATGTTGCACTTAATAATAGATATCTGCAATTAGTTTAAGTTCATTTAATTTACCCACATTCATAATTCATGTATATTTCCCTAAAGAGGTGCTTTTATTTTAATTGCAAATGATAAATTATTGAGAACAGAGTAGATGAGGAAAAGCTTTGCTTGTTAGTTCTTTTAATTAAGTAAATCTTAGTTTTTTTGGTTCACATAAGAAAGTAGAAAGTATTGAAAGTACAATTTATAAATTATATATCGACTTAACGCATTTTTCCAACTTTAAGTGCAGTCTTCATCAAATTGAGAATTGTTTTAGCTTTAACAAAGTTATGGCATGGAAAAGTTGACTCTTGTTTCTGAATTGAAGTAAAGTATGATTATCTGATTAATTTCTACTTTTCTAGTCATTCTTTTTTTTCTGAGTGTATCAATATTTTGTTTGGGTGTCCCTGGGCAGAGTCTGTTGGCGTCTGTGGCCGACTGTCAAGTTGATAATCTCTCGACACTTTGATGAAATGCTCTCGTGCTCTTTTGCTTATGTCTGGCATTGATAAATCGTCGCAAGTGACAAACAACAAAAGAGCCCGCACCTCGCCGCCGCTAGATGTCGCCACTTTACGCTTGTCTTATCAATGTAGGCTTTGAATGTTATTTTTATTGTTGCTGTTGTTGTTGTTTGTTTTCCTCTATTTTGTTTGTTTGTCGCTGCTGTTCTACATGTAAACGACTCGGACATTGATTAATTTCATAGTTAATTTGTCAGCATTAATCAGTATTAACTTAAATGGGCCTCAACACGCCTCCCCCACCCCCACTCGACTTCTTTTGACTGCATTAGTCTATAAGTCGACGAGTATTAAACTGACAGTTGGATTCAACTTATTCTTTTTCTATTTTTTTTGCTGTGTTTCTGTTAATTAATTTTTGCATACAACTTGGCTTAGTTTTCATTGAAGCGTGTTTTTCAATTAATTGCATGGGATTCCATTTTGTAAGCCTTGGCTAATGAAGCAATTAGCTGAATGATTACCTCTGGCACACGCCAGGTGAAATGAGTTGAGTTCGTTGTTGGCATGAGCACAATGTGTGCTGTGCAATGCTGTGAAATGATTTGCTTGTCACTTAAAAGCCAACTTAAGGCAATATAAATTCAGCTTTAATGATGCAACCAACTATTTTTCAGCAAATTTGTTATCTGAAAAGAACAAGAAAAACTACCCACAAAATGCATGAGCAAATCGTCAATAGTCATCGGGTGAAAAGTGCCACCCCCCCAAAATACACTTGACAAGCCCCGACCGACCCGAGTTGGCCCCTTTGCGTGACGACTTTTAGGCAACACAAATGTTTGCACACGCACAGTGGGGAAAAACCCTTCAAGCACGTTTATGGGTTAAACAGAGCAGACATGAAAGGAGTGAGAAGTGCCCCCCTCCCCCCTTCGCTCCCTAGTTGTAGGGAATGATGTGTGTACATTCTTACATAGTGGTACAAAATGGCGGCCAGGGCACACCTGTCTGCACTTGAGAACGAGGAACGGGAATGGGTAGGCAAACTAATGCAACACGGCGAATTCAAGTGCCGAACATAACGGTAAACATGCTAAGCGGTTTTGCCTAACACAGAACAAGAAAGAGAGAGAACGAAAGAGAGAGAGAGAGAGCAAAAAGTCAATGGGAAGTGTTTGTACAAGCCGAAGCGGACAATAAAGGCAGCATCAGCAAAAGAAACACAAAAAAAAAAAAAGTAAGCAAAGCAACTTGATGAGCGGAGCACAGAGATGGGGTGGGGGGTGTGGGGAGTGGGGAGTGGAGAGTGGTGTGTGTTGATAAAAATGCAAACACTTTTAGCGCTGACTGCAGTGAAAGTGCTGAAAGAAGCAGAGTCAGTTGCCAGGCTGTCCTTTTTGTCTGCCCAATTGTGGCTTACGAGCTGTTGTCCCAACACCTCCCTCCCCACTCTTGCCACCCTGCCGCCTTGTCTTGTCTTGTGCGGTTCTATTCTATTCTATTCTGCTCTGCTTTGCTTTGCTTTGCGTTGCTGTCCTGTTCTGCCAATTGACGGCTACTTGACATTTTCGCAGCTGTTTACACACTGTGCGCTGTGCAAGCCAAACACTCAACTCACTGAAACCAAATGGAGCACTGTAAATTCTCTGCCAATATTTTCCACCTCAACCCACCTCACTTCCCCTCTCTCTCACTCTCTCTCTCTCACACTCTCTCGCTCCTTTTCTATGGACAGTGAAAATATTATTGTAGCGTGTGAAAAGTGTAAAGTGCTTTAATGTTTGAAAAATATTCTATATATAGAACAGTTTCTTTTTTCTTTCGCACACACACACACACACAACACACACACACACATAGCAAGTCGGGCGACAAACACTTAAAACACTCCACTCCCAACTCTTGACTTGACTTGACTTGACTTGACCCGACTAGTTGTTGGTAACGACAACTTGGCCAACTTTGGCAACAGCTCTACAAATGTTATTCTTCATTTTGTTTGATTTAAGCTGATCAAGTGTTGCAGCGAGTACTATATACATATATACATATATATATATATATATATAAATATGTCCGTTTAATGCTTCTTTTAAATATTGATGGCACTCAAGTTGAGTGCAGCACACTCCGTTTGACTCTAGTGGCGAACCTTTTACTTAAATGCATTCGTAAATATTTTTATTATGAAATTTTATATTCAGAATTATTTTAGATTCAAATAATTTAGACATGGCATGTTCTATATGTGAAATGTTCAATTTGACAAAGTAAAGACAGCTTAAAATGCTGGACAAGGCAGAACTATTACTTTTTTTTTCCCATATATTTTAATCTTTGTCACTTTTAGCTCCATTTCCCATAGTTCAGTTGTAGAGGAGGAAATCTTTCACCCCAGTCCCTGCCACCCCCTTCTTAAGTCTGGAAGTCTAGAGACATGTCAACCTTCCAATAACGTACTATAAAAATCAGAGAATTTCCTCTGGTTAACCCCAATTACTATATATATATTTTAAGTATGTTTCTAACTGATTTGTTTTATGTGATTTGCCTACTGCAACGAATTGCCAATAGGCGTGTGAACTTGTCAAGTCCGAGACGTGGAGAGTGTAAATTTAACGATCAATTTCCGTTGGCCGTTGAAACATGCCCAAAACATGTTTTAAGGCAGACATTAAAAAAAAAGCACGGCACGGAAACCGTAAAGCCGCACTAAATATGAACATTAAAAACCATAAATATTAAAACATAAAAATAGCCCATAAAAAAGGGCAACTCGACAACGGAGAACAGGCAACAGAAATGCTGTACAATGTAAATGCACTGCTGGAAAATTAATTTCTAAACAATGAGAACAGCTGGAGTTCCACGAAATGAATGCCCACCCAAAGACTGCTGGAGGAGTCACACAATTAGTCACAATGGACGACGAACGCAGCAGGGAAATCAATTTCCACGGCATTGCCTTTATCGGAATGCATTTCCATTTACAAGCACAAGAAGAAAAGCAAAGAAAAGAAAAACAAAAAAAAAAAGACAGATACGTCCAGACTCCGGCTAGTGTATTAAAAATCAATGAATAAATAAACAGAAAACAAACGAAAATCGTTTGCCAGGCTGTGCAGCATTTTCATTCAGCATTTCCCCACCCCTTCTCCTTCCCCATCAACAGCTAATATCTAGTTGTGGTTGTTGTTGTTGTGATTGTGATTGTTGTTCTCTCAGTGATTTATATTTATTTTGGGTTCGTTGTGTGAATTCCGTCGGCAGCTAAAAGCTTTGGCGGCACGCGTCCGCCCAGCAAGCAGGTGCTCCGAGTCCAGAGAGTCTAGACTTAATGAAAGGGAACTCAATCTCATATGCAGCCTGATTAGTCTACTCGTCGTTTTCCAATTCGTAATGCATGTTAATAGTTTGCTAAGAAATGTATCCGACTTGAAACATTTTGAAATACCAAAAAAAATACAAATTAGCCCGAAAACAGCTAAACAGCTAACCAAAATACAATTCTATTAATAATACGCAAAAAAAAAATATAGCTGGAATGTTCGCTTACAGAGGTATTCCACTTTTAACTACAGTAATAATTAGATAATTGCTTTTGCCTGCTTCTCTGCTATGCTGTATGTATCTGTGTGTGTGTGTGTGTGTACGATAGGCACATACAGTTGCGTATTTCCAGCATAGCTTGACTAATTTGTTGTTGCATTCTCCACTCGCGATAGCAATTTGCAGTATCTATTTATAGCACGCATTGCACACACACACACGCACACACACATAAATCGACAAACAGCTTTAGCTCTAGCTGGCATTTAGCGCCAGATCGTTTCATGTGACTCCGTGGCGCAACGGTAGCGCGTCTGACTCCAGATCAGAAGGTTGCGTGTTCAAATCACGTCGGGGTCAATTGTTCAAAGCACATTTTTTGCATTTTACAATTTATTTGCTATTGTTATATTTTATTTGTACTATTTATTTATTAAACGAAATACATTTATCACTATTTTCGTACTTAATTTGATTTATTTATTTGTTTTAAAACTATATGTTTTGTGTGTAATCCGTAATTCTGACAAACATTTGTACATATTTCAACACTGTTGAAGTTTTAACCCAATTGAACCCACAGTTTAACAAAAATGATTGCTTAATTAGCGACGTTTTTGTTTCATAAGCGAGAGCAATTGCAAATGTCAACAGTTGTCGCTTGTCGCTTTTGTCGCATTCAATAAACATAATTACAACAACAAAAGCAACAACAACTGTTGCCGTTTGTTATGTGGGCATTTACACAGGTTCCTCACCACTCTCCCTCTCACCCCACCCCACCACACCACAAAATGCAATGTTTTGTCACTTCATAAAAGTGTTAATTAGCCGCCCAACAACAACAACAAAAACGTAGCCAAATTAATCAAATGCAAAGAACAAGTTCAATCAATAGTTAGTCCAGCGAACAGATATATATAATATAATATATAGTTATATATATATATATATAATAATTCAACATGTCATTTGTGGAGGCAAATGCTTTTTCCGGCTGAATGTGACTGCAATTAAAATGTCAGCGTGATTATTTAATCCTTATGGTTGGCAACATGTAAGAAAGAGAGAGGAAATTCGATGCTTGTTCATCTTTGACGTTTGAGATTGTTATTAATAAATATTTAATTGATTTCAGATTGTGACATTTGTACATATGTATGTGATTGAGACATTGATTGATGGCACAATATCAAATATCCGAGTGTAAAAATGAGGGACATTTGTGACAGCAAAATGCATGAAAATTTCAATGGCAATTCCCACACATGAAATACTATATTTATTGCAAGAAGGAGGAAAAATATTATAAATTACATTAGTAAAAATATGCTTAATAATACACAAACGCAGCACTTAAAAATCGAGTGCAACATTATGATTAATTCTAAACTGTAAACTGTAAACAACAACGAGCAACGCACTTTTAAAACTGTAATTAATAATGGATAAAAATCAAATTTGAAAAATTGAAAACAAATGAAAAACTTCTCAAGTCAAGGAATAATTAAAAAAAAAAAAAATAGACACGCACAAGTCTCGATTATAATCATATTGGATGGAAGCCAAAGTCGGCAAACAACAATTTAGCTGGCCGCCCTTCCCCGCCCCTGCTAAAAGACACTCCTCTATTCAAATTTAAAGAGCACTTGTCATTTGGAAAACAGTTGTAAAAATTCCCATGAGCAGCCCGCAAAACTCTAAAGGCAAATGGTCAACAGAGCTGATGGATTGAGAGAGGAGAGAAGAATGTGGAGTGGGGAAGACAAGGGGAGACATCCCTCATATATACAGAGGCGCATCATATTTTCGAGACGCTCATATAAACAAATAAAAACCCATTAACGAAAACCAACAGCAACAACAACAACTTCTCTCTTTTTCCCTTTTATCCGCACTCTGCTGTGATTAACGGCACAATGTGAAGGGTGCAAGAAAGTAGCGACGAGCAATTAACAACTACAACAATCAAACAAAGCGAGAGACAGCAAGCCTGCAGAGTGGCAGAGTGAGATAGCGGCATAGACAGAGACGTTGGCAGAGACGGAGGCAGAGACGGAGGCTGTTCACTCAGCATATGTGCGGGCAGAAAAAACAACAACAAGACGAGGAACAACAATGGAAATAGCGATAAGCAGCGCTTCAACTGCAACCCATTAGATAAGCAAAAGCGATTCGCAGTCGGTGGCCCACAACTCTCTCTCTCTCCCTCCCCCTCTTTCTCTTTCTCTCTCTCTCTTTCACTTGCACTGCGCCTGGCGAAAGGGACCCAGCTGTGTTTGCTCTGTCGAGCGAAGCGATGTAAAAATAGCGCAAAACTGCAGCTACACACACACAGCAGCAGCACACACACACGCACATACACACGCACACACTAATACAACTTCAACATGCATTTTCATATTAGTTTTTCGTGTGAAATATTTTAATATTTGCTTACAAAACAAAACGCAAAGAGGCGAACATAAAGCAGTACAGCAGAAGTAACACAAGCAGCTCTCAAGTTGCGGGCGTCGCGAGGGGTGCCCCCAAATGTATTTCTTGGACAAATATTCAATCAGGGCAGCAACCGCGCTAAATATGTGGGCAACATGTTGTCAACTTGACGAACTGAGCCAGAGACAGGGGCGTGTGCATAAGGGTCGTCCGCGGGGGCCAAGGGTTCACTTGCATAAATGTAAATTGGCAGCGATAAGCAGAAAATCAATTCTGATAAATTGAATTTGTAACAAGTCAAATCATTTAAAAACAAGTTTGAATTTAAATATGTTCAAATTTTTAAGAATGGATTATTCTTTTTATGACTGCAAATATTAAACAAAACAAACAATTAACCCAAAGATTGCATACACTGAAATTTAAAAAGCCTACTTATTGTTTCTATGGTTTCTATAATATAGTAATCCGATCTCGATGTTTATTTTATCCCATTTTTTGGCAGAATAAAAACTTGCTTAACAAACATGTTTTTCTTACAAGAGTTCAGCTGCCGACCGATCGTTCCTATTCAAACTTTTGATGTTCCATAAAGAAAGCTTTGAACTAAGCTAAGTTCTGTTAAAAACAAGAAATATTTTCTCTTTGCATACCTCTAAAAACATGGCAAATTTGAATAGATGAGGTGGACCATCTTAAGAACTTTGCTGAAATAAAGGCTTACAAATCCATTTCGTAATGAGCTCTAAAATGAACCCCACCAGAAACTACGTCCATGCAGTTGGAACTCTGCGTCAGACTAATCAGAAGACTTTCATGGCTCGCATATAGTAGAAATATATAAATATTTTTGGTATTTGAGCATTTGTTTCATTTCAGTGGTGCAACATTCGCAGAATCCCAATCGCTTTAGCTGCTTGTCACACGCTCGTTAAGCCAACAAAATGCAGGCGACTATTGTGACACTTGGCATGACAACGGCGACAACAACGACAACAATGAAAACAACAGCAGCAGCAACAACAGCAGCAACAACAACAGCAACAACAACAGCAACAACAGCAACAACAACAACATCAACAAGAGACAACGGCACTAAGTTGCAGTTGGCAAAATGCTTAATGAGTGACGGGCCTAAAGCGGAAATCTGCATCTGCGGTAGGTTAGAACCAGGCTGGGATTTGTCAAGGAATGATAAAATAAACATAGAGCGGGGGACGAGAGGGGGAAGAGGGGGGTGTTGGGTGTTGGGGATTGGGGGGTTGCACTTTACGAGCCACCCTTCTTTGGGCCACCCACTCAAAATGCGTCGCTTTTTGCATTTTGTGTCAGCTGTCAAAGCCAAAAGTGAAGTTGCCTTTGTATTTTTTATGTGTGGCCCTGGCCCAAGGGGTGGGTGGCCAGGCTGACGACGGAGGAGCGGAGGGCTGAGTGTTCAGCCCGTGCTGCCGGGCAAAGTGTCCATTATGTTGATTTGGAAAATAAAAGCAACGGATGCGGATGCAATGCCTCAAACAGCAGGGACGAGTGGAGGCAGTGGGTAGAAATTTAGCTGATTGAAAGACAGTTAGATATGTAAATGGTACTTTGAGGCCGAGATTGGTTATAGAGAATGGCTAAGGAATGTCTGCTTGATTGGCGAGAGGAAATGAGAACTGATTTCGAAGCTGTCAATCAGATAACAAAGCGATACGCTACTTTCATATTCACAAGTGCCAACGAGCCAAGAGTTTTCCAATCCAACTGTGATTCCACTAATCAAATATATCTGAAATGTCAACGATGTTGTTGAGTTGCTTAGTAGCCTTAGCTTTTCGCTTCTATTCTGATCAGTGGAAAGAAGTGTGAGATTGAAACGTGCTGCTCCAAATTCCAAATTGCTGCTATCCTCTGATAACAAATAACTGTAGATAACAGCTGACAGCCAATAGAATGTCATCGTGCCAGAAGCAAAAACCCGTCAAGGATCATGTTGGCTACTCCATGAACTATGTGCTCAAGAAGACGCAAGTCGATGCGACAAAGAGCAGCGATCTGATATTCAATCTGGACAAGACAATCGCACGTCTGATCGAGAATGGAGGGATGGGGATGGGCATGGGCAATGGCAGCGTTCACTTGGCGGAGCAGGATATCATGGAGATTTGTAGACGGGCACGGGAAGTGCTGCTTGAGCAGCCGATGCTGCTCGAACTACGGGCTCCCATCAATGTTTTGGGCGATATTCATGGACAGTTTGGCAACATGCTGCAGTACTTCAAGATGTCCGGCTATCCACCGCTGGTGAATTATCTATTTCTGGGCGATTATGTGGATCGCGGCAAGCAGTCGGTGGAGACACTAACCCTACTATTGGCCTACAAGCTGCGCCATCCCGACAAGATCTTCCTGCTGCGCGGCAACCACGAGTGCGCCAGCCTCAATCGCATCTACGGCTTCTACGATGAGTGCAAGCGACGCTACTCAATTAAATTGTGGCGCTGCTTTGTGGACTGCTGCAACTGCATGCCAGTCGCAGCGATCATTGAGAAGAAAATCTTTTGCTGTCACGGCGGATTGAGTCCGAATCTGTTTAGCATGGATCAGATACAGATGATTCAGCGACCGTGCGAGATACCCGACCATGGTCTGCTCTGTGATCTGCTATGGTCCGATCCGAGGCCAAGATCTGTCGGCTGGTGCCTCAATGATCGTGGAGTGAGCTACACCTTTGGTGCGGACATCGTTGCTTCCTTTCTCAAGCGACATGACTTCAGTCTGATCTGTCGGGCCCATCAGGTCGTCGAGAATGGCTACGAGTTCTTCGCCAAGCGGAAACTCCTCACCATCTTCTCGGCAACCAATTATTGTGGCGAGTTTGACAATGCCGGAGCCATGTTGTGTGTCGATGAGAATCTGCTGTGCAATTTTGTCATACAGAAACCTCAGCCCGCAAGACTCGATAAAAATATGAACTGACAAGTCACCAAACTGATAGTTTGTGGTCAAAAAACCAAAATTATAATGTATTTGACAGTGTTATATAAAGTCTAGTTAGGTATTTGTGTATCCTATTCAAATATTCTGATATGTTTTCATTAGCAGCATTCTTGATGAAATATTTGCAATTACAAAAGCAATTATTAAATGCCTTTCCTTATGATGAATTATTAAAATGTTAACGGTTGCATTTTTGCCTTTGAATAATCAAAAATGTCCACAATTTATGCATGCACAAATTAATTAAATAATTCATTTTGTAAATTTTAAATTAAAAACACTGGCAGCTTCATTTGCACACACTGGTAAATAGAAAAACAAAAACTAATTAATTGAATAATTCATTTTGTGAATGGCAATTAATGTTTAATGCAAAGTTTTCGCTTTGAAGCGTCAACATAAATGCAAATTGCAGAAAATCTCATCTGGTTGTTAACCAGTGCATACAATTAATATTAATTTGCTAAATTATTTGCAATAATTCACATGCATTCACCTACAAACAAATTAAATTAATGCAAGTCTAAATGGGCGTTGAGTTTTCACAATATACAATAATTTCCGGGTTAATTGCAGCGGTTGCAGGCCGGCTCAGCAAATGATAATGACTGCAATGATTACAAAAGCGCAACATGAGCGATGGATAAAAGTGAGTGCAGCTAAAATAATTACTAAAGTCCATTACAACATACACAACCAAAAAAAAGATAAAAAAAAGAAAGGAATCGAGTTGTGTATTAAAAAATGAAATGACTGCAAATTGCAATGGGAATCATTTGATGACAATGTCCATGTCCATTTGGTAAAATATGCTAATTTGTGTGAGTGGATGAGCACATATTAACAATAGATAATAAAACCTTGCATATATCCAATGTGGAGCAAGTGAGCACGCCTCAGTCGAGTGAGCTCGACTACGAGATGCCCTAAATGCAGCTGTTAAAGTTTTAGTTTTATTGTCCCTTTTATGCTGATCATGATAAGGAATACATATATATACTCTTTGGGGTTGGAGATGCTTTCGTCTGCCTGTTACATACTTTTGCAGCAAATCATTATACCCTTGCTACCCATTTTGAGTGGGTACAAACTCGCAGGGAGCAATTAAAATACACAAACACTAATCAGCAGAGCAACTAATCATCACTTTAATTAATGTTCATACATGTACATGGCTAAATCTCGCCTCTCGCCTCTCTCCCCCCGTTCCCGCTCCAGTTGAACAATAACAAAACAAACCCTTCTGCGAGAAGTCACTAATCAAGGCAGAGCCAAAGAGCCAAAAAGAAAACAAACTTGCAACTTTGCCAAGCATGCCGAAGGATAGTTAAAGTCAGTGCAAACACAGGACAACAAGGAGTTGTCATGTCCTGGCGCTGACTAACGACAACAAAAGCATATCAGTACAAAAGACACACCAACACAGCCATCCAGGCAAACTCAATGTCCTGTTCCTAGAACAGACCAGACCAGACCAGACCAGGCCAGGCCAGACCAGATACAGAAACGAACTCGACTCGACTCGACTCGACCCCGAGCCCGAAACAAAGTCAATGCGCATAAATTTTGGCTGCATGTCCAAAGAATGAAAGTCAAAGAGTGGAATGAGATGGGAGGTGGGAGGCGGGGGTAAGCAGTACAAGGCGATAGATGCATAAGATAGACGACGACATGGAGACAGGGACATATATAAGCCGAAATATCCACAAAACTAATCTGCAGGCGGCAGACGAAGAAAGTGCAGGCAAGGATTTACATATTAAGCCATTTTTAATTTACGACTTGCCAAAAAAGCTGCTGCTGCTGGTCGAGAGCAGTCGAAAGTTGCTTTCTTCACATGTACACACACACACACACACTGTGACACACTCACACACACACATACGCCTGACTAAACAGCAGATAACGAACGTAGAAGGAACTGAACACAGATGGTTGATAAAGGCGCCAGTCGAGCAAAAGGATAACGACAGCAGGCTTCCCCAATAATGGATGAAGTATACCCCGTAATGTTATTTGCCAAGAGTCCCTCCCCTATTCGTTTCCCCTCCCCAGCCCAGACAAACTTGAGTCCTAACCTGGGCAAACCAAACCGCCCCCGCAAAAGGTTGCAACGGAAGCTGTCCGCCAACAATGACAGTAATAAAATAAAAATAAATCCATGCTCTACTCTCGCTTTTCTTTCTCTCTCTCTCTCTCTCTCTCTCTGTTTCGCTTGCTTGCTGTCTCTGTCACTCGCTTGGCTTATGTCAAAGTTGACATTGACGTACAAGTCCCGGAAGCAAAAAAAAAAAAAACTGCGGCATTGTTTAGGCAACTGTTTAGCTGTTTTTCATGTTGGCCCCCCAAAACTTGAGCGAAAAATTCGCCCAGAAAGTGAAAACTTTCGTGGAATGTTTTGAATTTTGTTTGTTCGTTAAATTGTTGGCCTTGTTGCACACCTGTCTAATTTGGAAAATGATGTACAGCTGACTTCGACTTGGATTTGATATAAATTTGATATTGAAGTACAACTAGAAATCGATGTGAATGTGCATCAAATGAAGTGCTCCTTAAAGTGCTCTAATCAATTTGGGAATAAGAATAAGCAAGCGAAATTTACATTTGGCATTAGATATAATGGCGGTCCATCAATAAGCCTGCGATTCGCCAACATTAAAGTCAACTCACAACAGGTGAGCGGATGGCCTTAAGCAGTGCCTATGAAATAGCAGACAGCCTAGAAGAAGCCATCAATCATGGGGCTGGCTTTGCAACATGGATGAGCTTTAGTTGCCCCTTCCTATCACACACACACACACAGCATATGCTAACGGTAGTTAGAGTCTGCCACCCCTTTTCATGGTGTACACTGAAGCCCAAGTTTCTTTTTATACTCTGTAAACATTCTATTTCTACAATGGGGTAAGTTATTTTTATTATTGCTGGAGTGAAGGCAACACAATCTGTTACTGTGTACTTTGAGGAGAGTTCGCTACTGATCCTGTTTGTTTGTCTACAGTGTCCTGTTCAGGGACTGTGGAGATTTCTAAATATGTTCTTTCCCATGGACATCACTTGCTTAAAGTACGCAAAAGAAGCTGAGATATGTAAGCATTTAGATGCTAATCAAATTAGTAATCGTAGTTGGTCTATTCTAAACTGTTTCATACCTCTTTTAAGCATATATTGGCTACCACTTCTTGCCACATCATTATTCCAGGGTATTCGCCAGTCGAGCTCAACTCTCTCAGCTCCGGCGGACTTACTTGTTATGCCTTTTGTGGTTTCTGTGGCGTCAAATGTGACGCTTTTCTGGGGTTGCTTAAATTTTACTCCACAATCCCCACCCGATAAAGTTGAAGGCGTCGCCTAGCGGCAGGAAATGTTTGCTGTCTGATGATGATGACGATGATGGTTTTCTTGTTGCTGCTGTTGTTGTGGTTGCTGGTTTGAAAATTGTAGGGTTTTCTTTTTTAAGTTTCCTTTTTATTCTTTTGGCTTTTGGTTTGAGACAGCCCCAAATGTCGGCTTGTGGTTTGTCACACACACGAATCGCCTTTATGCGGCTTTTCATGTGTGGCAAATAAAAAAGAAATGAAGAAGAAGAAGAAACGAATACTTCCTTACTGCCAAAATGGAGATCATTGTGAGCATTAATGCGTTTGGGGGTTTCACAGTGATAATAAGTATTTAAATGTGTATAGGGTTAATTGGGTGATTTTACCTTATATTGTATTATGGGCATCGCGAAACGCACTCACCTGCAAAGAGACGCAAAATATGGAATTATGATATTAATTAAAAGATTACTCAAAATAAAAACAAGCATTTAGCATTTTTTTTTTTGTTGTTGTTTTCGCATGGAAAAACCCTCTTCAAAATTGCCAACTTGGTGGCATTTAATTCAGGCCCCAAAATCGACCGCAATTCGCAGCAAGCGTGCTAAAAGGTTACACAACAAAAACAGCAACAAAAACAGCAACAAAAACAACAACAACAAAACAACAACAACAACAATGAAACACAAGTAACAACTCTATTAAAAATATGCCCAGCAAATGATTTATAACCTTTTTTTTCCCAGCCAAGGACAAAAGTGAAACTCATGCTGGAAAAAAAGGCAAACAGAAAAAAAAAAAAAATATTAAAAAACCTTTTATATGTATTTGAAAAAGGCATAACAAAATAAGCCAAATTATAATGGTAGGGAATTATCATGTCCACCTTTTAGGCTTGCTTCGCATTATATATATATATATATATTTTTTAAGGAAATGCTAAAAAAGTGTTTAAAAATTTGGACAGGATAAGCGGGCGCTTCTTTATATGACAGTGAAAAATGATGAACTCACGGCTACGTTGCCAAACTGTGGGTTAGGGATAGATTGGTCGTAATGATGACTTGTCGATTGCTATTGAAGGGCAGAACGATGGCCAACATATATGTATATGTGTGTATAATAAAGCTAATCTTTCAGCTAGATTTTGACTGTTATTATGCCCACATGTTGCAAGACACATTAACGAGTGTATCTACGACAGATGATCAGAAACGAAATCAAAATCAACATTTAGACAAATGAAAAATCATCTCTTTCGCTTCAGCATTCTGTAGGTCAAGTGTCAAAGTAAATTCCTCAAGCATTCTCCATACATTAACAAAAAAAAACGTTGCCTGCATTTGAAGCCTTATCAAAATATGAGCTACTTTCACCATGGTCATTGAATACAGCTGCATAAGAAACATGATTAATCAGTAAAGTAAGCAAAAACAAAAACAAAAATGAAAACAAAAATGAAAATGAAAATAAAAATAAAAATGAAAATGGATGAAGGCAAAGCCAAAGCCAAAGCCACAACAACAACAACAATAAGACTAACAACAAGAATAATAAACAACATTGCAGTTATGGCTCAATAAGCCAACAAAGGCGTGTTTCTGCCTCAAACTCAAACTCAAACTCAAACTCAAACTCAAACTCAATGATAAAGCATTTTCCGAAAAAGAGAAAAACAAAAAATAACCCGAGAAAAACCACAAACAACAATAGACAGGCATGATGAGCACCAAGGGAAACAACAACAACAATAACAACAACA